CTACATTGTAATTATTTTTCTATTTGTTTTCGTGCAGTGCCAGATACTAGTCTGGGAATTGCAATAAGTTGCAGTGCTTCTTTTAAATAATCATTCTAGTTTCAAGTTTTTCCACGCAATTGGTTTCAGGATTTACATATTTTTGCTCCTAACCCTGGTTTCAAGTATAAGGTACCGTATTTATCGGCGTATAACACGCAGGCAGGGTTTAAGCTTCCAATTTTAGTTTTAAAACTGCGTGTTATACGCCGATAAATACGGTACCTTATACTTGAAACCAGGGTTAGGAGCAAAAATATGTAAATCCTGAAACCAATTGCGTGGAAAAACTTGAAACTAGAATGATTATTTAAAAGAAGCACTGCAACTTATTGCAATTCCCAGACTAGTATCTGGCACTGCACGAAAACAAATAGAAAAATAATTACAATGTAGGCCTATGTAAAGAATGCCCATATGACATGCTTTGAAGCACTTATAAATCATCATAAGCCTTATAATTATTTAGTAATAATAGCAATTTATTAAAGTTAAATGCTCCCCCAACTCCCAGTGACTGAGTAGTATACAAATGCTAAAACATTTTTAAAAACAATACAAAACAAAAAACAAAATCAGAAGAAGATGAAGGAACAATGATGGAAGGAAGTTAACTCAACAGGGGAGCAGAAAGGAAAAGGGATATCAGTTGTCTTCTCCAAAGACCTGGGCAAAAAGCCAGGTCTTTAAGGTCCTTCAAAATACTAGTAGGTATTCCTTAATAAGAAATCTGTGGCATAAGAGAATATACCTTTGCCATTTTGTTGCTTTACTTCATAGACTCCTCTGTCACTCCTCTACTGTATATATAAGTTTTTTATATTTCCAACTGCTTCATCAATTTACCTTTTTTCTATGCCAGCAAGAAAACTGTTAATTTAGACATGGAAACAGAAGAGACCCTTCTCCTTTATCTGCTTAACCAAAAATAGTATATAAAAATCTATCCTAACCAATGGATGATAGGAAGCGGAGAGTAAACAATATTAAAGCAAGATCGGGAGTCAGGAAACTACATGATTACAGTGATTATTCTCACACCACCATGAATTATGAGAAGAAGGAACTGGGGCAATTCTGTGCCTGTTTTTGTTCTGACGAAACACGTAGGCAAAAAGCACACACGAGCGCTGCATGCATGGTCCCATTCAGAAAAGTTACCCCCACCCTCTGAAAAATGAGCAAGAGAGACATACACATAGCCAATCACATCTGCATCTGGCTGCTGGTAAAAGGCTTTGTCAGCAATCCTGTGGCAAGGTCCAGTAACAGGAGAAAGGGCAGAGCAGAATGGAAGCAAAGAGTTAGAGAGAGAAACACAGATTAGTAATAGCCTTAAAAGTGGAAGAGGCAGAACTAGATGCTACTTGAAAGCATTAGCAGCTCAGTGAGTTAGAGGTTCATTAATCAAATGTATAGGAAAGAAAATGAGAATATTTTATGTAGAAGTAAACTGCTTGTCATAATGCCCCCACAGTGACAGACCTGGTGCAGAAAAAGCTAATTTCTAAGAACTAGAATTAACCCTCCCAAGTTTACCTTATTTACATGCAGCTAAAGTAACCAATGAATGTTTAACTCAGTTATGACTGAGTTAAAATTTGCATCCAGGAGGATGCACTTTTATTTGTTGCAAATCCAGATATAAACAAGTAGTTAAGAAACTTCTTTCCTTGCTGTACCTGTTATTGGCCTGGTTCCTCTCCATTTGTTCATTCTGCCTTACGTTCCATTCCTCCAAGTCTTTCTTAGCCTTTTCACGCCATTCCTGTTCTAATACCTTCGAAGCAGCATCTAAAACCAAGAAAAACATCATGAAAGATAGAAAGAAAATGCCTAAGGGTCTTAGCAAGTTAACTAGCCTAAATCTAGCCTGGCACGATCCAGATGTATAGAATGACATTTCCGTCATCTCCAGCAAAAAAGTGAGGTACCCTGGATAGATGTTGTCATAAAGAACTGTAAGTCATATCTCAGATTAAGAAGAAGATATTAGTCTTCATTTATTGGAAAAGAGGTTGCTAGAAACTATAAATGGCAAGGCCAAAAGATATAGCCTGACATCTACATGGAATTTATAGAACAGAAAGCACAACACTACACTAGTTAGTAAAGAGGAAAAAATGCTTATTAGCTATATCATCACACTGATGTATTTATTCAGCTGATGCTAGAAATAAAACTTGAAATAATATATCTCATTATTTCTTATTCTACAATATTGTTTTTATTTCTCTTCCCCCTTCCTGATACACTTATATTCATTCTCTACTCTGCTAACCTGGGAGCCCTTTTCAATTCTGCTGCTGCTCTTTATATTATATTATATTATATTAATTATATTATATTAATTATATTATATTATATTATATATATATATATATATCAAGAACCCTTTTCTAAACTAATCCCAGCAGCATTTTTGCATCATTTAAGAAAGTGTTTCTGATGGTTCAATCTCTTCTCCACCATCTTCTCTGCTGCTATACAAAAATTCTCCTTATACACGCAACCCCCAAAGACAATACAATTTTAAAAATATAATTTACATAAATACTGTATAGTTATATTTGAACTCCAGCTCAACTCCTGAGCAAATATTTTTATCCCTACCCAATTCCTGCAGTCTCTTTTTCTGTTCCTCTCTCCATTTGCGAAGACTCTCGGGCTCCTGTGTCAATCGGTCAGCTTTGGCAATGGCTGCATAGGCATCTGTAGGTCCATTGGATTCCTTGGGGGGAAAAAGAAGCCATGGGTGAATTATTGGTCTCCCACAACAAGGAATGGTTAAGAAACAGAACATAGAAGTCTCCAATCCTGCCAAAAAGTCTTTTATAAGTTTGTAGGCAAATTCTAATCTTAGCCGATTGGGGACTTATTTAAACATAATCTAGTATTTCTCCAAAAAATTAATTCAAAGAATGAGATATAGAAAACTGAAATTATGAGGACAGTTTGAGGGCTCCCTCGTGCAGAAACTAGCACAGCTAGTTGCAGTCTTATGAAAGCAGATGCTTTTCAGAGTTACATATTCAAGCTGATGAATGAGCATCTTCATCAGCCATGGACCTGCCCTCTCTTAATCAACTTGCCTTGTCATTCACGGCCAACATGATTTTCATATCTGTGCTTCAGGTGAATTCCTGAAATTCTAAGGGTAATAGCTGTAAATCAGCCGTTGTGATACAATTCTTATGATGTCACAATCCTTAAAGGGCCAATGTCTTGCTGCAATCTTCTCTGACCAGAACTAGGTGTTGATTTCAGTTGAGTTTTAAAACTGCCATTTGTGTCAACTGTTGTCATGGCAAGAACCATTTTCACAGTCTCGGGCTGAAATCACAAGGGAAATGCTAAAGGTCATCTTCATGTAAAGGACAGTAATGGTAGCAATTAAATAAACCAAAATTAGAGGAACCCCTCAATATGGATTGTGTTTATAGATAATAATTTTTAAAATGTTGAATCCAGCATCGGGTTCCTATAGTTATTTCCAGAATCCTGTGCTGTAGCTTGTTTTTACATAAACAAAATTGACCCTTATGAACAAACTTTTTCAACTTATCTAGAATCATCCAAAAGGCTAGCTCATTTTCTTCTGTACCTCTTATTGCATCCGCCAATATAAAAGAATAACTAACAGTGGTGTATTAACCATTAAGCATACTAAGCACATGCTTAGGGCACCAGGCTCAAAGGGGGCACCACAAAGTTGGGAAAGAAAAAAAAACTCAATGAAGATTTGTACAGTATATACAAACGAGGGGGGGCACCAAGATTTTGAGTGCTTAGGGTATCTGCCACTGGTAACTGAGATTTATACAATGCAGCAGGAATGCTGATTCTGGATCTACTACTTTAGGCTGGGTTAGATCAGGTTCACTTACAGCTTCAAGTTGGACTAGGTCATTTACAATAATAAATTGTCACCTGGAGTTGCCTTCTCTGGAGGTGAGTAGAAGAAAATGAGTGGGAGGCAGATTGCTCAGTCCCAAAAAGGAATTTCTGAGGTATGGAGAAGGCGGTTGTTTTAAGAGATGGGAAGAAGAGAAAAAGGGACGTGTGCATTTAGAAAACTCTGTTTTTATAATACTGATGCTTATAGTGTTGAACAGATCCCAATTCAACCGTCAGCAAACTAAATTGTCTATATTTTTTTCTTTTGTTGAACCATGTCCAAGTCTTGGAAACTTCCAGGACATATCCCTGTAGTTTTCTCGGCAAGGTTTTTGAGAAGTGATCTACTGTTGCCAATGTAATCACACGAATCAAACTATAATTACGTGAGACTAAATCACACCAAGAAGAAGCCAAAAGTTTCAGTAATAGCCACTGCCTTTCCCACTGATCTCAGCAGACAAGAGGCTGTCTTATGCTGTGGAATAGCATCCATGTACAGTTAAACCTCTGATTCTCCTTAGTAGCTACACATACACATTGTGCTACAAATGCACGATAATACAGAAAAGTGAGGAAGATAAAGGATTTTGCTTGGAAAAAAAATGAAAAGTGTATGTACAATTCTACTAGGGTAACAGGGTTCCTCTACAATGTAAAAGGGCACATAGTTGCTATTTGATAATTATTATCTTGGTATGCAGATTACTTAGTACAGTCAGAGAATTGCCTCAAAGAAACTATTGTCTTTTTCAAATATCTACATTATTCAAAGATAGAGGGGAAAGTAGATAAAAACCACACAGAAAAATGTTTTCCCGGTGAATATGGGAATTAATAATATAATGATATGCCTGCAATTTTCAGGTCAACATTCTTTCATCCAAAATAAAGAAACAATGTTATCAAATATGTAAACAATGTTGTTTATATTTGTGAAGTGCTTGATATAACTGAAAGTCAGAATTATTGCATTGGTATTTTCAAAGACAAATTCTGTATTGGATGGAGAGTAATGTAGCAATTCAATTTACTGGTAGTTCCAAAAATTAAAATGGATTTAGTGATAAAGAAACATATACATAATTGGGCTGCTTTATGATTCCCTCAGTACTAACAAACAGAAGGAAAAAAAGAACAACGCCTTTTTTTGGCTTTTGGATCTGATAGAATGTTACTGTCTTTTCTAATCTAGCATCTTCCAACTTTGGCCATATCTGTTGAAAATTAAGGAAGCAGAGGTCTGACTCACCTAGAAGGCATAAAAAAGCTATCCATGTCAGTGCTGTCCTTTCTATACTTCCATACCATGTCTATGTTTAATTAGATACTCAACCTCACAGCAGTCTGTGTAAAAATCATTCTCTCCTTACAGTCATAATTACCTCCCTCAATAATGTCAGTGCCTTGAAATGGCTTCCGGTTGGTTTTAGAAGAAATATTTATAAGCTCTTACTGTAGATGACCGATTTGGAACATGGATAAACACCATTTTTTCTGGCTTTAATTTTTCATCAGCTCACATGAGCACAACCAATGAAAAGGGACTATGGAAATGGCAGTTCGCAATATCTAGGGTAAGAGGATGCTGATGGAAGAGAATATCTGTAGCTCAGAAGTGAACTGTAGAGTTCTTGGTGCGCTCTGATCTTAGTTGTTTGCTTGCAGACATTTCATTACCAGACTAGGTAACATAATCAGTATGAGTAAATGTGGGGCTGATTCCCTGTTCATATGCAGTAATTTATAAGAGAATTCTATTATGAAGAACTTCAGTCAAAAACTGAAGAAAACTTACCAGCACTGCAGTAAGTATTACTTTCCCTTTCCCCCCCTTTTTTTTGAGTGACCAGCAAAAAAAGCCAAATGCCCCAGATAAGAATTCTTAAAGAATTGTCCTCTTAGGTTTGACTACAGCTATTATTCTGTACATTACATAAACTTATGAAAGTTGATATGATTCATAGCCCCACTCAATTCAGACTCTCACCTGAAACACATCACCGTTCACAGTAGTTCCTCCTGTGTTTTCAAAATTAACTGCAACAAAGGGAACATATTAAAGTATTATTCAATGCTACAGTATCTCTGAGTTGTAAGAGAAAACATTCAGTTATGTTACCTGCAAAAGACAGGCCAGAACCAGACATTATTTTGGAAAGCACCTTCCTGTTTGGCTAGGTAGAGGAAGAAGGATATTTAAGTAAAGAATAGAAACACATAAGACCTGTAAAAGGTGATATTGGCCTCCAATAGAGCTGAATTCAAAAATCTGAGAGAGTTTTAAAAGAAGAGAAATAACTTGTTAAAGGAAAAAATATCCTGTAAGGTGAGACTTTTGGTATCTTAATAGTCGTATTCATGTAATATTTTTTGGTGGCAATATAGCTGTGGTTTTCTGTTGCCTTTTTCTGACATATTTTCAGACTTTCAAGTCAAGGAAGGAAAGAACAAATATATTTGTATGAACATACTAAGCCAAAGTTATTTACCATTTTGGTTGCAATTATAGTTAATAATTGTAGAAGTGTTGAATAACCGTTGGCTGGTTATTCAACACTTCTGATTTGTAGTTTTTCATGCTGGAATAAAAGTATAATGGCCCAATTAGGAATAAGGCTATTCTATCCATACCTGTTGTGGTTAAAAAATGAGATGAGAGACAGCAGAGATGCTGCATATGGCCATTTAAAATTGTACATCTGTAGTGGTACAGAAGCATTTTGAATACATTAATAAATATTATAGCCATCCATTTTTATATCTAAAAACCACTTAGCCATATAACAGATAAATAAATGTATCAGAAATTATGAATACAAATTGGGATTAGAACACTTTAGCTATGATTTCATTTTATATCAGGGTATAGATATCATGCTTGACAAACTAAAAATGGTTCATCTGCAGTTTAGCACTCTGAGGTTATTGGTTTGTAAAATTCACCAAATATATCTCTGTATATAAAATTGTTGTTATCTGTGTATTTAATAGTCCATACTTTATTTTACAATTGTGTTAAATAAGCAGTAGTGATTTGGTTCAATATAACCCTGCCATAAATCATAATTTATATACCCTAATAGCTGGATTCATGCACTGGATATTCTATTTTGCACTCATCCATTTTCTCACACAGGCATTTTTCTGTTGGGATCATAAAATGGTAAAAGGGTAGACAGTGACATATTATACTATATAGCTCATTATATAATTTACTGCCCTCTAGTTATTTTGTATAAAAGTGCCCATAATCCATACCTAAGAAATAGCTGTGTAGTCTGATATATTGGAACAAATATTAAAAATCTGAAAGGGATCAAGCTCTAGCTATAATTATTCTACTCCTGGATTGTAGTGGAAGCAAATATTTATCTCTCATACACGCCTCTCATTCTTTAGTTTTAAGAGCACAGAAATTCATCCTGTCCTGATGTTGGCAAATTATAAAGCTTAACCAGTGCCACATGCTATAAAGTTTCTTGAGCTTACCTTGAATTTCCAACATTCACATGATTTTTATTAATATGTGACATTTGGTACCTATAAAATAACTTTATTTCCAAAGCTCCATTTTACCAGACTATATAACACACTAAACTACATTTTAAATGACACTTTATTAGACATACAATGTAATAGTTGTTGGGTTTGGATATAATTTAACCCATAAATCATAGGTTATAAAGCACAGGGATTTAATTCACATGCTGAAAAAAGCCATAACTCCAAATAATTGCTTAGCTTTATTTTTTACTATGCGCAACTGAAACAGAAATAAGTTGTTTGTTTGCTTGTTTGTTTAGGTGAATTTAATAGCAATCAGCTCAAATGGATTCCTAGCAACACTTTTTAAATCTTTTCTCACTTTACTTTATTGATTTAAAAAATCCAGTTTTGATCTAGTAATTAAGTCATTAGGGTAGAAACCAGGAAACTGAGTTTTGACCCAGCCCTAGGCAGGAAGGCTGGCTGGGTGACTTTGAGCCAGTCATTCTCTCTCAGCCCATGATATTGGCCTTGGGCAGCATGCCAGTCAAACAATTTCTGTCACAATTAATGGATCAACTCTTGACTGATCCAGAAAAAAAACGGACCGTGTACTTCCAGCAATCCAGAGGAGAAGATTGATTAACATCAGTTACTGAATATGGCTTGGATATGGCCATCAGATATGGGCTGCAAAAAAATCTGGCTGACTACTAGACAGCAAAGAGATAAAGAATTCTTACTCTTACATTCAGCAGCTGTCTGGATTTTGGCAGACTAAGTCTAATATAGTAGCCCTAGGTCTGTATGGTAGTAAGAAATCTTTATCAACAGTTTAAACAGTTATTGGGATTTTGGGTTCCTCTCCCGCGTCTGTTTGAAAGGATTAGAAATATAGCAATAGTAGCAATAGCAGTAGACTTATATACCGCTTCATAGGGCTTTCAGCCCTCTCTAAGCTGTTTACAGAGAGTCAGCATATTGCCCCCAACAATCTGGGTCCTCATTTTACCCACCTCGGAAGGATGGAAGGCTGAGTCAACCCTGAGCCGGT